TGTGTGTGTGTGTGGTAGAAGTATCGGTTTTTGTACTCAGTATCGGCAAGTACTCAGATCCAAGTATCGGTTTGAAAAAGTTGGTATCGTTGCATCTCCTAGTATGTATTATTGTAGTGTCTACCTTACATCATAAAGCGCCTTGAGGCGACTGTTGTTGTGATTTGGTGCTGTGTAAATAAAGTTAAATTGAACAGGTTATAGTGCTGTGGATACTTTACTTGGTCAATCAGCTGACAACAAACCAGGAAATGAAAATCAAATGTGGATCACAACAATGTGTTCTGACATTAAACAGAAACCTGCCAGCTGCAGGTCACAGAGAAAACCCGATGCTCAGAGGTGACAGTGAACGCAGCATTACCCTCTCTGAGCTTCAGTGTGTTCAGGAACACCGGACTCTGCAGGACGTTACAGCGTCCAGCTTCATCCTCTCTGGTCAGTAGCAGCAGGTCAGTGTAGATCAACACGGTCACCTGAAACACACACACACCACTGTCAGCACAATAAAATGTGTACTTGTAGTTCTTCTTCTCATCGACCCGTTTCTTCATTTGCACACAACACTGTGACCTTTGACCCTGAGGTATGTCCTCTGAGAGTTCACAGACCGCCGTGTTCATCCTGCTCAGTAACAATGTTCAAACGCTTATAAACCATCCTCCTCATCAGGTCGTGTTCATGGACCGCAGGCGTCCCCCCGCTCTTCCTGCACTAACACATGTAACTGAGAGTCTGAGGCAGAGCGACGTCCGACCTCCACCTTTACTGAAAGCATGAAACTAAAACACAGCAAATTCCCAGATGTGTGTAAATGGATGGGAGGAGGAAACTGATCCTGGTTCAGCTCTGAGGTCGTCGTGTCCTTCAGGATCAGGTTCAGTCTGCAGAACCAGACGTTTCTCAGAAACATCGATGGGAACGACGAGCAGGGCCGTATCAGCCGTGAGGCTAGAATGGCTCTGGAAGGATCGATAAGTGATATCCATAATGGCATCTTAATCGCTCACTTATCAATTCCCATCCTCCATTTGTCTCCTCAGACAGGACACAGCAGAGAGTTTACCGCTGACAGCTCTTTAAACACCGTGTTGGAGTAAAAATACTATTTTTCATCATTTCAGCTAAATAAGTGGAAACAGGGTGATTGTGTGACAGGCTGTGGGTAACTGGTTTAAACCTGAGGACTGAAACTCCAAGCACGACCTCCCAGTGCACGTCAGCCTCAGACGAACTCACGTGTCCACTGTGAGGTCGGCTTTATTTGTACAGCATGTTTATAGACATCATGTGTCGGGCAAAAAACAGAGGGACAATCTCATCAAATACAAGAATGAAGATAAATGAGGTAAATTATCTCGTGATTATCAAACATCCACACACACACCTGTCTATACATATATAAGAGGGAGGGAAGACTGCAGAGTCTGGGAGCGGCGATGGAGAAAGCCTTCATCACCTGTGGATTTTAACTGGGAGTGTGGGACCAGTAAAAGCATCTTACTGGAGGAACGAGTTCGAGTGGGTGGGGGTGCAGCCGCCCCAGGACCGCCTCTGAAGGCGTCTCAGTGCTGCATACGCGCAGTATATTTACAGGGCGTTACCTTTGCAGGCAGCAGGTCGGCTTGGTGCAGGAGCATCTCTTCAGACATCAGCAGGGCTCTGTCCGGACTGCAGAGATCGAGAGGCTGAAACAACAACACACACGTAAACAAACCACACACACACAAACACGTTTTGCTCGTCTGTAGCTGACGGCTGCCTGTCAGTCCCTCCTCATTACTGTCATTTACCTTTGTTTATGCAAGTAATCCCCATGGAGACGTTACAGGACAGACCTGCTCTCCTTATTTCAGACCATTTAAATTAAGTCCCCTCTCTGCCACACTTTATTCTGCCTTTCATCCTGTTGTCACTGCGTCTGCTCCTGTTTCTAAACATTCAGGGGTGCTGTGTGCACGGGAGGACAGTCTGGGCCCACCTGGGCCACGCTGTGTGAGAGTCTCCATAAAGAGATCTGTAATGACTGTTCTAATGAACAAAATAACTGTAAGTCTGTTCTGGGTTGGAGCTTAATGGGCGGAAAAAGATCAGAATCAGAAGGTTTTATTGCCACATGTTGAGCAGCTTGACAACATCAGGAAATTGCTGCGGTGCAAACACACTGTCAGACAACACTTAAATAAACATAATAAATAAAAGTGCTGAGTAGAGAGATGCTCTGAGAGTTTCTGGATTAGTTTTGGTTCAGGTTAACGACTCCGGACCTGGATCGGTTCTGACCTGGACGAAAATAGGGAAGATGACGGTTTTGGGCGCCATGGTGACGTAGGCTCCATATCCCGAGCACGGCACATGTGACTGAACGATGGTGCAGTTCTGGTAGTTGCCATAGTTTCTGGGCGGGGCCGAAGATGTGGAGGAAAGCGGTGGAGGCAGGGTGGAGATTTGCCTGGTAAAAGGTCTCTGTAACGACCCCAAACATGAGTCGTGGAGGACGTTCGGACCTCTGGGGCGAGTCGGGTACAGATGTCCTGGAGAACCACAGATGACACGATTAAATAATATTTACGAGCACGTTGCATACGGATGAATAACACTCAGAGTGGTCGTACCGATCGTGCCGGGCCTGTCGTGATAAACTGGTTGCAGGAGCTGGAAAGGAAGAGAACATTTCAGCATCGTTCTGATGCTGCACGAACATCAGCAAACCACAAACTGATGTGCAGGTAAACATATGAATGCAAACAAAGACATGAAGAGAGCTTCACAGAATAATGATGATGTCGATGTGGCGTTTACAGTGTCCCAAAAGTGTTTGTGTTTCACCTGAAACTGTCAAACTGACTAAAATATTCTTTCAACACAAACATCTGAGTTTAGCGAGACTCTGGAGCAAAAGAGAAAAATAAATCTATAACTGGAATGATGACTGTACAGCGTCGTGGTATTTCCCATAAAACAGCAACTTACTGTATTTACTAGGGGTGCAACGATACACAAAATTCACGGTTCGGTTTGGTTCGATACTTTGGTGTCACGGTTCGATATTTTTTCGATACAAAAAAAATGTTCATGCCTTTTTAATTTGTCATTTATTAAATTTTCAC